GGAATTTGAGCAATAGCGAAATGACAAAATCCAGATTGCACAACCGCACTGAGAGCCAGAAAGTTCCACACTGTCCAGAAAGCAGAATTGCACCAATATTACACCAAGGGAGAACCGAAACACTGAATCCGAGTGTCAATGAGAGCTTATTCTCGCCATCACCCACATACGTATCCAGAGCCCTCCCCCCTACTTTGCGCTCAGCGCTGTCGGCGCGAATACCCTTACAAGGGTATCCGCCTTGTTTTTTTGCAAACGGAAGGGCCAGTTGATTTGGAGCTTTTGAGTGTTGCTACTTCCATCATCTGTGTGAGCAACACACAGTCCAATAGGTAAGTTCCCAGTGCTTCGGTTGTCCTCATGCTACTTCCATCATTCAGGTGAGCAACTCACCGTGTCTGAATTGAATAGGACAGCCGTAGCAACCGCTGAGAAAAATGGTCATGTCCTGCAATAGTAATGCGTCACAATAACTGTAGCACTAGGATAGTCTGAAGGTTACGGTACCAGCAGCAGCAGGTTTGGCTGGGGTAGCAATAGCACTGCAGCAACCCGAATATCCTTAGCTTTGCAGTGGCGAGCTCAAAGAGCCTTCAACCTGTCCATCCTTGCTCGCACCAGACACTTTACTAATTAAGAATCACCATGCACCACTAAGGGAGCCAGTAGTCCTGTTGCTGAAAGATCAATTGCATTCTCCTGTCAATAACGGTTTGGCACTAAAGATACCGCAGCAAAGCGAGTACGTAACAGCAGTCTTCAACTGCAACAACTTCCAATCTGCAACAGTCAGGAGCTAACAACGCCAGTTGTCCTATCAGAAAAACCAGCAGCCACTACCTATTGAGGAATGGCAACCAGCCGCTGTCAGAGTAACTGAGCTCCAACTAGCACTCCACCGCTTGCCTAAATTGCAGTCCTTCCTATTAGGTGATCAACGACTCAACTCTGCTGAGACTCCGCAGCACAACTGCCTCGAGAACAGTATTGTCGTTTGAAAAAGGAAACCACAACATAATTACGTCCAGCAGCAGCATGAGTAAACGAGGATTACCATTCCCTTAATCAAGGTAAATCACCGCGACCGCATGCCGTTTACATCAACAGTGGTCCTGAACTGAGGCAGTTTAGTGGTGATTCTTAGTTGAGTGACGACTTACTTCAGCTCTTCCCCGTAATACACCTAGTCATGCCCCATCAATTGTGTAGGTGAGTGGCATTACTCCCTGCGCCTGTATCACCTTTCTCCCTTTGCCTTGCTCACTTCCACCTTCCTTCCAGGCCTGAAGCTTCTGCCTGGTCCAATCCTGTTTCCCTCGTTATACTCTTCCTAATGTACGTGATTAAGGGCGATAGCCAGATTCATGCAGCTCCTAGTAGGCAGGCACTGTGAGTAGATTCATCATCGGGTCAATTGTTTGTCCAGAGGGACGTGATGACAATGGCACCGCTAGTGGGAAGAACACCACAAACCATTCCACGAAGGTGAACCGGGATGGCATACGCCTGCGAATGGGCCAGGATGATGGCAACAGACACCATAGCTTCGCGGCTGCTGACACACGACCACGCTGGAAATATCACCCTGCTAATACCGACGACCAAGATTGTCAATACGAACGGGGTCGGGACAGAGCCCGACTCACCAGTGTGCTAAATGAGAATGAATCTTCCGCTTGAACATGAGAAAATGCACCCTGCTGCTGGTCCCCTGCCGAGTTAGCGGACATTGCATCTTGGCTTTCGCTTCCGCTCCCGCTTGTCCCTCCTTCGATAAGTACTCTCTCTCTCTCTCTCTCTCTCTCTCTCTCTCTCTCTCTCTCTCTCTCTCTTCATGTACCTCAACCTCCCTCCACCCATGCATATGTACTACGGAGCGCAAATGCAAGCGTGAGGGAGGGCTATTGAAGCAACTGTCATCAACTCAATTGATAAGGAAAATACATCTCGAAGATGTCGAATGCCAAGCCAACTATGACCGTGGGAATGAACAAGGTGATGACTGCTGATGAAGGCAATCGCGAGTGAAGAGCGCAACCCCGATGCCGCTCTCATGAATGCACCTAGCGAGGATCTCAGCCAGGTTCATTACCATAAACAAGGTCGGGCTTCCCCGAATAGGACAGTGTGCTGGCCACGGATCCGACAACAACAACTCCTATGAAGGCAAGATAGTGAACCCGACTCCTCCTTGCGGTGCATAAATCTTGCTATTATGATAATGAATCTTCCGCTAGAACACGGGAAAATACATCCCCCTCCTCTTCGCGCAGTCTCTACGGTCCGTGCCAACAAACTGGTTGTCTAAAGCAAAGATCTGTCGCGGCCATCTTATCGAGAATGCCTCTCGCTTGTTTTCACTAAGAAATGAGCGAGAAACACAGTTTTCACTTCCACTCTTCCCTTTTTCTCTCACCCTGACTCTTCCGCGCACCTCCAAATCCTCCTATCTCTTTCTTTACTTCCTCTTCGTTCGATCTACCTACAGTTTTGCGTTCGCCCTTCCTTAAAATCCCAGTTTTCACCTTCGCCTTGCCTTGTTCCGTCAAGAAACCTGTAAGTTATGGCTTCCTTCACCTTTTTCCTCCTTTCTTCACTCTGCCATCGTCTTCATCTTCCTCGTTTTCTTCGTCTGTCCGCAGTCCGCTATTTGCCCCTCGTTTCCGAATGGCGCGTAGCCCACTAGGGTCCGACCCGAGAACTCCAGCTACAGTGAGGGAAACTTCGGAAGCAACCAGCTACTCGACAGTTCGATTAGACTTTCGGCCTTGTACCTACGACCGAGGAACACTTTGCGCCATCGGAGGAGGGAACCCGCTACGAGGTGGTTCGACGGTCTTTTGCCCCTGTACGTGGTTCGACAGTCTTTCGCCCCTGTACGCGGTTCGACATTCTTTCGCCCCTGTACGTGGTTCGACAATCTTTCGCCCCTGTACCCGAGTCCGACGAACGATTTGCAAGTTAAATTACTGCCAGCCTTGGTCTAGGTATCCCTTGGCTGTGCCTGGCCCAGGCACAGTTCACTACCTCTCGGGTCCACGGGCCTGCCCGCACTCAAGTCCCACTGGTTGTGCCTTACCCAGGCAGTGGCAGGCAGGCACAGTCTAACGTTCTTTTGGGCCCTGAGGGGGCTTGCTCACATTCCCATCTCCTCTTAGCAGACCGAGGCTGGCTGACGGTGCATCTGCAGAGTGCCCCTGTCACCCAGGTTCCTTCTGTGTGGGTTAAACACCCATTGCTTTGCATGCACACTGGACCCCCGGTTCGCGTCTCAAGATGGGTAGGAAAGGAGAATTTTGCCAGCATCCTGAACAGGTAGGAACTCGAACGGGCCCGTAAAAAGAGGCAGGTGTTCAAGGCGCTCGACTGCCGTGACTGCCATCCGTGGGGAGTTCCAATAGCTCCTCATTGTAATGCTGGTTACAGCAGCCCAGGCCGGTCTGCACCTTACGTCCAACAAGGAGCGCCGCAATGCAACCGCTGTCCACCTTTGCCAGATGGGGATACATGACTCTCCTACATCCGCTTCTTGTTCGGTAATTCCAAGCATTCTTTTCTGTCTTTCAAAGTTCTTTTCATCCTTCCTTGTGGTACTTCTTTGCCGTCGGTCCCGGAGCCAGTTTCCAGCCTGGTCAACAAACGGGACTTTAAGAATGGAGAAAAATAAAAATAAAAATAAATCAACAAAATAAAAATAGTAGAATTGAGGAGGACGAGGACCTGTCGACGCCCTCTTGGTCTTGCCAGTCGGACCCAGACTCAGGCCCGTCCGACAAAACCAAGGGGGATAGTCCATTAGGACCCTCGACCTCTAAGTCTCCGCTGATCGCGCTCCTCCGCTCCATCGCCACGTGCTGGCCTCGAACCCCAAACCCATCGCTTGATAGTCCAGTACTGTAACCAATTAGAACTAGGCCCAAGGCTGAGCTAGGTAGGTGCGAACCTACCTATAAATAGTCTTAGGACGGTGATTGGCTTATCTACACGAATTAGGCCCTCACCTTGGCCCATCAACCAGTCTCCCGGTCGTCAGACAACGCTGCCCGCGCCTAGGTTTGTGGTCGCCTAAGACCCTGGTCGTCCGACATAACATCTGCATTGCCGAAACTCCCTACTTCCCTCATGCTAAGCTTGACAAGGCCGTGCCTTTTAATGCGTCGCCCAGCACAACTTTCCTGCGCACGTGCAAAGTAAGATCTTTATCTCCCTTGCGATGAGCCCCGCCAGAGGCCGAGCTGGTTTGCGAAGTAAAGTTCGTCTCTAAGAAGAAAAATATAACTAAATTGAAAACTATAGAGAAGGTAATTGGACCCTATGGCCTTGATGCCTTCCGCCTGCCTGGCATAGCTGATGACTATCGACTACCTTACAGTGCAACGCATTAATGCATGCCCCACACACTCTCTTATTTGGTCGCATTCGACTTGGAGTCTCACCAAGAGTGAGGTTGCCGAGGTGAGCCCCCTGACGGGATTTGCCCCATCAGCGCGTTATGTTGATCAAGGACGCACCCAGTGCGACCCTTAAAAAGGACGGCAAATACCCTTGTAAGGGTGTTTGCTACGACACCGTGTTTGGTCAGGTCATTACATTAGCGTACTCCTGTGAATTGTGTTCTCTTTTTCTCTCTTTGACTTCGTAAGGTTGTTTCTATTGAATGGATATCTGGTTGAACCATCAACAAAAATGGACAATGCTGTCAACATGCTCCTTGTATCTGCTTCTCTTTTAGGCTAAGCCAGCTCTTCGTTGTTTGCATTGTTGAACGGTGATGCCGTATGTTCTGCAGCTTATGATCATGGAGTTGCAAGTTGCAATTAGCACTGTCATATTTTGTGTATTCTTGCACTTCGCTACCTTTTTTAATTAACCCGTCTGTTCTGCTGGTTGAGTGATCCTGGAACAGGAAGTTTGTGCCATGAGTGCATAACTGAGATTGAATTTTAGGTCTTTCTTTGACCCGGAACATTGTTTGTCAAACTTTGTCCAATAGCTTGCAGATAACCCCAGCGTGCAACCTGCCTTTGAAGTGTCTGAGACGTGGTGGGAAGATCGCAATCATCAACCTGCAGGTAAATTGAATGCCATGTTTCGATGTTTTTATTCCCTTCTCCTTGAGTTCTTTAATGATCATGTTTATATAATTCCAGCTATGGAGAGCTTGGCTCGGCCATCAAAACCCTGAACACTTTGATTGTTACCTGGGTACTTCGAGAAATTGGACTCCAAACTTATGTCCAGCATCATGAATGGTAGAGCCACACCCACCAGTCCTATGTCTGTGCTGGAAAAGTACGGACTTCTGAACTTGGGGAGTTTTATGATGAAGTGCATGCTGTACAAGCACAGAGATATCACCAGCAGCCTCAGCAGGGTCCGGATGTTTGGTTTATTTGAACAGTGCACACCATAGGCAATTGGTGCATCCTGTTGGGTCAACTGTTAATTTAGGATTGTTAGAATTTGTTGGTGCATTTGAGTCACAGCATAAAGTACAGGTCCTCTAAACTATACAAGTGCGAGAGTAGGACAATCTTTTCGGTAATAGGACCAGGTCTGTGCAGTGTAGAGCTGCTCTAAACCAGTTGCAATGATCCCACACTTCACACACGGTTTCACACCCACGACTCACTCTTATCCAACCTTGCAAGCAAGATAGCACACTGACAGAAGATGAGAACACTTTGGAGATTGCTCAACGTTCGAGTCTTATATAACAACTCTAATTTATGCAATTGCTTGCGACTATGGCCACCAAGTTCATACTCAGGTAACTCTCTCTCTCTCTCTCTCTCTCTCTCTCTCTCTCTCTCTCTCTCTCTCTCTCTCTCTCTCTCTCTCTCTCT